TTGCATTTCGAGAACATTGTAAATCTTTGTGATCAGAATCCATCTTCCTTTGCCTTTTTTTCCTTTCTGTGTAAAACGGCCGTAAAATTATTCCAGCTGAAAAAGATGCAATGATTTATACTAACTGGGGAAAGGAAACGGTTGATCTGGACTTTGTGACCAGCCTTTGAAACTGGTGGATGAGGTGTGAGGGGCGAGCAGGACCTCGTGGGTGATGGTCCTGCCCTGTCCCTGCCAGCCCCAGCCATCCCCGGTCAGACTGTGCTGCTCCTCTTTGTTTCAAGCTTTAGGGAGTTTTAAGGCCACCGAAGTGTCCTTGCGGGGACCTTCAGAGTAAATCAGGCCTGAACTCCCACTGCCTTTCCTCCCAGCATCTTTCTCATGGAGTTTCTGTCGGTAGGTGCCTGCGATGTTCCGCCACGTCTCCCATCTGCAGAACTCAAAGAGCAATACCATCACCTTACCGCATTTGCCTACAATTCAGTGGTGGAATATGCCTGTCGTCCAGGTTACGTGAGAAATTTTAAAGCCCGAAACGTTCTTGTTTGTGGAAGGAACAGGAAGTGGCACGGATCAAGGGAGTTCTGTATACGTGAGTATATTTTGCGTTGACTTTTGATTTTGTTTTTTATTCGCTGATGCTATCTGCTCATTTTTAGAGCCGTATCCAGAGTGACCTCATGGGATGGTGGGAGATGAGTGACCTGACGTGAAGCACCACTGCTAAGTGCTGGCAACGATGGCAGAAGCTGAAATCTGCTTTGATGCTGGCTGTGTTTGATTGCTGATTCAAAGAATGTTCTTCTGCTCAGGCACTTCGTAACTCTTGGTTCAAAAAAAGTATTTCAACTTTGCAGTAGGAGAATACTTTAGCTGTGAAGAAATGCTGTCGCGCTTGCCAGGATTACTGCAAAACCCCACTTAGACTGCAGAGACTGGCTGCAGGTCACGATGCGAGTCTTAACAGCATCATGAATCATGGAATAATTTAGGGTTGGAGGGGAAATCTGGAGATCTCTGGTCCATCCCCTTGCTCAGTATTGGAGGATTCTTCTGCTTTCCTGCTGCATTTTCCCGGTTCTTCAAGAAACTGAAATAAGAACTAACTCCAGTCCTGTTGTCCCCCAGCAAAGCTGTGCACCTACCCGGGAGAGCCGGCCAACGGCAGACTCGTCCTAGCAGAACAGTTCAGTTTTGGTTCATCAGTGAACTTCACCTGCAACACCGGGTAAGCCAGGAGGACTCGGGGCACGGGTCGTCGTCTTCCCCAGCAATTCTTCTGAAGTCTTTTCTTGCTAGATTAAAGCCTGTGCTGTCAGAAGCCTTAAAAAAATGCAGACTGTGATTGAGATATCTTTTAAGCTTTCCTCTGAGAGCTTCAAGACTGTCTGCGTTTTCTTAATCTCGTACTTTGAGGCAGTTCTTCCCGAACTCAAGTTCACTCTCCTGGCCCTTTCTAAACCATTTCCAATGTTTCAGTATCTTTCTGAAGAGGAGACATCAATACTGAACTCAGAGCTGTAGTGATAGCTACAGCTGGCTGATAAAGTAGACATTTTTCCTTAGAAACCGTGTAATTTTTTTTTTTAATTTAAAAATGCTTTTGTCAAAAGCCAGTGTGTCACTGAAAAAAAGACATTGATGGGAAATTTCTGATCGGTTGTAATTATGATAAGGAAGCCAAAACCATCCTGATGGTGATGTTACAGATAATACATCAAAACTGAATTTGTCAAGTAATTCCCTCTCCCCTCTTTCACACAGGTACAGACTGGTTGGAAATTCTCAAATTCAATGTGTAATTAAAAATGGGGTTGTTACATGGGACAGAGATATTCCCATCTGTGAGGGTAAGTAGAGTTCCTTAATTGATCTACCGCTTAAATGTTACTGGGGATGGATAAAGAAGCAGTTGTGTTGCCCTGCTGAGGACTTCAGCAGTTCGATGCATGGTGGAGTCTGGAAAGACATTTTTTCTTTGTGTTTTTCTTCCTGCATCATCCTGCAGAAAAAAATTATTTACTGCCTGGGAGTAAGGCAGCTGCATGTCAGACTGGTATATCCCAAAACCACTCAGCGCCCGGGTCAGAGCTCTGCTGCCTGTGGGCTGGCGTGCAACTCCCTGAGATCTGCCCTTAATTTCTGACCCTTCTGGCACTTCATGTTTCAATTTTTTTCTTACTAGACCTTTGGTTCAAAATGAATTAAGTTTTTTCTCTCTTGTTCTTCCTTCCCTCTACCATTTCTCCCCCCTCCCTCCCCAGCAATACCATGTTCACCCCCTCCAGAAATCGCTAACGGAGAGCACAGCGGAGCTGACAAAGAGCTCTTTGAATATGGAACATCTGTCACTTACTGGTGCCACACTGTCAAATGGGGAGAGAAACCTTTCTCGCTGGTGGGAGATGCCTCTATTTTCTGTACAACCACAGATAACATAAATGGTGTCTGGAATAAGCCAGCCCCGGAGTGCAAAGGTGAGCTGCTCCCATGCACGGGGCGAGGTGCGCGCTTGCAAGCTCGCCGGGGCACTGCAGCAGCACCAGCCGTAGCCCCTTCTCCGCGGCCTGCTGCCCGGCCTGCTAAAGCTGTTTCCTTCCTTGGAGCCGTCTCTCTCCTTTATGTTGCTGGCATCGCCTCTTGCAGGTGAGACCCTCCGAGTTTGGTAGCAGTAACAGGAATTGGGATCTCCCATCGCAGGGACCGTGGCTGCTCACAGTCACCACGTCAGCAGGGGACGCGGGAGTGGGATTTTATTAGCGTTCGCAGACCAGATGATGCATCTTGCCTGCCGGCCTGTGTAAAACATAATGCCTGCAAGGAATTCGGAAAGCTGCTGTGATGCCTGCTGCCTTTCCTATGTTCTTTTTCCACTTTGCCTTAATAAAAAGTGCGAAGTAAAAGAATACTGTAATATGGAGCAAGGAATTCAAAAATATCACGTCAGCTTGCTACCTTGTCATGTCCATTTTCAGCCTTTTTGGTGAACACATCTTATGCTACGGGAATGTTTTTAATACCCTCATCTCCCCTCTTGAGCATAACTGCTGATTTCCTAAGTGGTGGCGTTTCCCTGACGCAGTGGTTAACTGTGAGCATCCGAACGTGGAGAACGGGAAGCTGCTGAGCGGGTACCGGGCTGAGTACACCTACAGAGACACCGTCGTGTTCGACTGCAACTTCCGCTACGCCATGAACGGCAGCGATGCATCCACGTGCAAAGAAAATGGCCTCTGGGACCCTCCGCTGCCGCTCTGTCAGCTCAGTAAGTGCGGTGGAGCGAGCGCTCCACCGGGCCCAGCAGCTTTGCTTCGGTGGGGTTCCCACCCATCTAAGAAAGCATTAGGTCGTCAAATTGATGGCTCCAAGATTTTTGGGTGGTTTTTTTTTTTTGGCTAATCTCTGTAGCACTAAGGTGACTTTAGGAATTTATGACTTGGGGCCATAGAGACTAAAGCCTTGTCCCATTCAAGCTGGTGGGCGTTTCTCAGTAGAATTCAAAGGGACTAAATTAACCTTGCTAAATATTTTTAAAGTTTGTTGGTAAAGCCTCAGACAGTATAAACTTTATTAGAAATTACATCTCACTATAAGAGTGCAAATTACCATGCGGGCTGAAATTATTCCTATGTTTTCATTCGTCTCCTTTGCATTCACTCTTTAGTATTACTGAACTCAGACGATTAAGCGCGTCTCAGAAAGAGCAACGTGAGCCCACGATTTTTCCCCAAATTCTCTCCGTTATGTTACATACCGTTTTGGGCCTCACTGATTTATCACTGGCAATGTCCTTGAATTCATATTTCATTCCTAGGTAGCTGTGATGACCCTCCAGATGTGCGTAATGCTGTTAAAGCAAAACTTGCTGGCAATTTGTTTCCCGTGGAGACTGTCGTTACCTACGAGTGCAGGGAGGGCCACCAGTTCAGCCCGGGAGAAACCACCCGGCACATTAAGTGTCTGCCAGATTTTACGTGGAGCGAAACTCCACATCCTTGTGAAAGTAAGTGTGTGTTCCTTTGGCTTACTTACCCTTGTGATCTGGCAAAATTATTACCGAATGAAGAAACTGTACGTGGTCTGCTGTTGTGCAGATCTCAGGGTGGGGGAGAGAGGGGGGGATGCTCTGGGTGCCCAGCTTGGCGTGTCTCTGGTCTTTGCTGTGGCTCTTGAACTCCTTTGATTTGTTCCCCAGCCACAGGATTTTCTCTGCTTTGTTTACCAGCTATGCCTTCTAGTCCCTTGAACCTGTGGAAAAAGTCATTGCAGTGTTGAGGGCCCCTTGCTCCATCCAAGGGGACGTTGCAGTTGCAGAGTCCCTTGCAAGCACCCCGTCCCCCAGGAGTGCCCAGGGATGGTGTTGGGGCAGATTTAGTGTTGTGATGTGTCTTTGTCTTACAAAGCATTCATCCTTCTGGTTATGATGAATCTGCTGTCATCCAGACGGCTTTTGGTTTCACACTTGCTAATGTTTGGCATTTCTCAGGAATTCATTGCCCAAATCCAGACATCAGGAATGGAAAGCCCTTACATGTATGGGAAGAGAAAGACAATTATGTGTACGGAGACAGACTGGAAATTACGTGTAATGATGGCTATGCTTTCAAAGGTCATAGCAATAACATTGTGCTTCAGTGTACAAGTGATGGGAGATGGGATCCAGCACTACCGGAGTGCGCTGCAGGTAGGCGAGAGTTGGTGAAGCACGTTGACTTGGCAACTACTTATTTTTGACTGCAGAGGTTTGGGGCACTCCATACAGCGTAGTTGTCTGCTGACATTTGCAGAAAAATCTACATGTGGCCTTAGACGATGGTAGTAGTAGCCACAGAGAATTTTGCTCCACTGCCACGTATCCCCAGATCTAGTCCTCCTGTGTTAACTTGGAAGAAATAGGCAGCAAAAGGTCCAGATGGATCATTATATTGCCTGGGGATTGCTGTGGGAAAAGTACGGGGGTTTGCCAGGGGGCTGAGCTAGTGTCTGGGGAGGTGGGATGTGAAGGGTTGGGTGTTGGTAGCTTTGAGAGGCTTAGGAGGTTCCTAAGAAGGCTGGGAGATATTTACCCAGCTGGAAGGGGATGTGGTTTGTGCTTTGGACAGCAGCTCGGCTGGTTTGCTGACATGAGGCTTGCGAGCAGAGGACGTTCTCTATGCATTTCCCCTCTCAGAAGAAAATGCAACAGCATAAATAACTGACCCTGCTGAAACTAATAACGTAGCAATGGGGCACCGTAGCAATATCAGGGAGGCGCTGGAAGCGGCCTGAGCCCAAAAGTCGGGAAAACCTTGCCAGGAGGAAAAAGCCTGCTCCACCTCACAGAGCAGCCAGCATTAGAGCATGGACGATTCCTTGTCCTGGCCCTACGCTGCCTGTGAGGTGCTCAGCAACCTCACGAGTGCGGCTCAGTGGGAAAGCAGGACCTGCAGCCCCTGGGATGATAACGGTGTGCGGTGCCGAGAGCCCCGAGGGGAGGCTCGGCCAGGCACGGACCCAGCTCTGCAGCATGTGCCTTTCCCAACAGCCTCAGAAAAATCTGAGTGTGGAAGCAGAAACTCCTTTAGAGTTACAAAGGAAGCGTTGAGACCTGCATTTGGATGATAGTCACCTTTTTTTCAGGGTTCAGATGTTCCTGCTAACTGTCTTCTCCATAGAAAGCATCTTCACTGGAGTTCTTTCTGAAAATACATGACATCCTTTATTTTCCATTGTTTCTAGAACCTCGTTGCCCAAAGCCAGATACTGCTAACGGAAGAGAGATTTATAAAAGCAAAAATGACTATGTGGTTGGGACCCGACTGAGGCTGGCGTGTGATTCGGGCTATGTCCTCAGGGGCCAGGACTCGACCGAGTGTCAGGCTGATGCAAGCTGGGCTCCCCCGTTACCGGTTTGTGATAAAGGTATGTGTAACGTGGTGCTGAGAAGAAATCTCGTGCACCAGTACTCAGAAACAGCAGTCAGTAGGTAACCTGCCTTCAGCATCTGCTTCTGGGGAACGGGACGATGATCGCCGGCTCATGGGCTGAAAGTGTTGAGGTGTCTTCTCCCTGGAGATGTGACCCAGGTGGGAGCTGAGCGAGAAGTGGGAGCCTCGAGCAGGTGTAAGACAAGAAGCCAGGCAGCAACTTCATGTGAATTTGCCACACTACAAACATGGAGTTAACTCTTGTACTGATTTCCCAGAAGCAATTTTGATTATCACCTGAGTGTGATAACCGTGCATTTCTTTTCTCATTGATTCCCTTTATTCCACAGTCTGTGGCCCCCCTCCACAAATCACCAACGGGCAGCACTCCGGCTCGGGACGGGAGCAGTTCCCCTACGGTGCAGAGGTGACGTACAGCTGTGCGGAGGGTCTGTCCCTCA